TTGTTGTTGTTGTTGTTACTTTTCTGGGAGTGATTGGTTTATGTTAAAATTCCAGGAAATAGTAATTGCTTAAAGCACAATCAGAACTGAATCCTAAAAAAGGAATGACATACTTTCCATTTTTACTTTTAAAATTAGTGACCACAATGATAGAGATGACAAGAAAAAGGGAAGCAAAAGCTTGATGTTCCTGGAAGCTTTTAGAACTTGTTAAAACTTTTTAAAATGGCCGGGTGTGGTGACGCATCCCTTTAGCCCCAGCAGAGGCAGGTGGATATCTGTGAGTTCAAGATGAGCCTGGTCTATGTAGCAAGTTCCAGGCCAGCTGGGGCTACAGGGAGACCCTGTCTCACCAAAATAAAATAAAACAAAACATTTAAAAATGGACATACTTCCGGCTTTATTGAAATATATTTTGCATATCATAAAATTCACTCACTTAGAGCATACAGTTCAGTTGTTTGTGGTATATTCCAAAGTTGTCCAGTCATCACCACTTTTAGAGCATTTTGATACTATAAAAAGAAACCCTGAGCTGGGTGGGCACGGTAGTATTTACCCGTGATTCTACACTTGGGAAGCTGAGGCAGGAGGATCCTGAGTTCAAGGCCACGTAGTGAGTCTATTGCCAAGCTAGGCTGTGTAAGGAGATCCTGTCTCCAAAAAAGAAAAGAAAAAAGAAACCCTGCACACATGAGTAGCGCTCCCAGTTCTCATGTTTCTATCCCTCCTATTGTGTGAGATTTTATAGTTTTGCTTACCTGTACATCTTAGTGAACTTAAGTAAGAATATTCTTGGGGAAACTATCTGCTGATGAACACCTAATACATGACATCTATAAAGTTATGTATTTGTAGTGACTGCAGTTCTAACTATAGTAAGGCTACTGATACAATGGGGAGAACAATAGCTAACAACAAGATCCCTAAGCCATGTTGCTGGCCACCTAAATAATTTTTTAAATATAATCAGGCAATCAAAAATAGATTAAAAGAAAAATACTTTCAGCCTTATGTAAGAACATTAAATTCTGTATTTTGATAGTACTATTTAAAATTACTAAAATAGATTATATGTTTCATTTTGCTGGCATATTTCTGTCAGATCACCCTCTGCTTTTAGAGTTTCTCCTTAGAATATTATTCAATTACGAGTTGTTAATTTGAATAAGTTGATTTTGAATGAGTTGCTGAATAGTTAGGAAAAGAGTGTCACCAGTGAAAGGTCAGAGAGAAGGAAAGACAGGCAAAGAATGAGGGAGACCCTGGGTAGGCCTTTATTTGGGAGTCTCTAGGGCAGGGCAGGTAAGAATCTAGAAAAACAAATTACCTCTAGAAACCAAATTATCTCAGTTACTGGAATTGTCACAATTCATCCAAGGGAATTTACAAATTGGCATGGCTCTGGCTAGCAATCTCCAGGAGCTATCAAAACGAAGGATTCTGAAAGTTTATATAGTGGTTACTCTTAGGCTGGCATAAAGGATATGGTAAGGTTTTTGTTTCTTCCCCGTGGTAGAAAGCTACCTAGCACATAGAATGTGGTTAATAGAATGACTGAATAAAATTTAGGTTAGCCCAAATTAGCTGGAATTAAATGAACAAATCCAATGAGAATTTGTTAACCATTTTGATAACGGGGTTTATACCCACTTTTTAAATGAGATCTGATGTTTAGCTACTTTTTCATTGTCCTGTTGACCTCTTTGTA